GGGGGTTGTCTAAAGTATTATAATAATAATGGCATTATGTTTTCATTGTTTTTTTGCACTGTGGTATGGAATAGGTGTTTGGAATCACTATACAATGATTGGTAAATTTTTACTATCTTGCTCATCTTCTTGAGTAAAGATTGGTGTGTAATAATGACATTAGACTAAGCTATAATATTCCACCTGTAAGTGTTGCAGTTCTGGTTGATGAACTCCAGCATGACCTCCGGTGACCTTGACTCTGTGTAGATGTGTGCCCTTGGTTTGACCTTGGGCGGCAGGATGAGACAGTTCCTGTCCTCCGCTGTACGGGGGAAGAACGCCACATCCTTCCTCTCACCTGGGAGTTTCCTCTCGTCTGCCCACCTCAGTTTCTCACCTGTATCCCACCTGGAGGTTTAGGCAAGAGACAAAAATCAACACAGTTCAAGTTACTGTAAATATTAACTAGTAGATACTTGCAATGGTTTCAAATTGCTAGCTCTGCAAATATGCTTTTCCATTGTTTTCTACCATAGTGAGTGTACTACTAATTTGGCAGTGTAAATTTATGATAATATTGGAGGCAGATAAATGTGGGCACCCCGAAGATACAAAATAGTCAGACTTTTATATCCCAAAAACGATGGAAAATGGAAGACAATGTTTGCCAAAGGTACTTCTTATACAATTAACATAACATTGTATTTCCCAAATATTGGGTCCTTTTCCTTTGGTCGACAATGCATTTGGTGGTGCTGTAACACCTGGAACTGTTGTCGTTTAATAGACAATTATTCGGTGGTCACAGTTGAACTTTAATCATTATGCATTGTTCGTAAATCTAGTATATTTATCTATAGGACAATATGAAGTAGTTCTATTAAGAAATTTGGTTATTTTTCGGCAGTTCTACAGCTCAACTTTAGCGCGAAAGAAAAAAACTCCTACCTGAAGTCCGCTTGAATCACGCCCACCACAACTCCCCCCTCGTACCGGAACGCGCGCTCCAGCGACACCAGGGCCGCCACCACCGTCTCGTCCAGGGGCAACACGCCGGCCACGATACAGGCATCCTGTAGGATCATCTCCACGTCTCCAGGCGAGAGCTGGTACAGGCAGGAGGAGAGGTTAGACTGTAGCGCCAGGAATAAGAACAGAGTCTTCAGAACCCGGAAGAAACAGTCGGCTCTGGGCGCCATGTTGGATAGGTCAGAGGTCACGGGAATGTAACAGGTGGGCTGCGGACACGACGCGGCCCATGATTGGTTGAAAAGTAGTAACGTCATATTATCATAGACATTTTCAAATCGGTTCGAAAAATCTAACAAGGAGAAATTGTCTAAAATTTCGTCTCTGTTATTTTTAAAGAAAAAAGACCGCATTTATAGAATACAGTCGGTATTGTCACATCACGCCAATAACTAACGTTACATGTAACGTTACTTGATAGGTCACTAGCGATGCTTCGCCTCGGTTGAGGATGACAAAAGAAGAAGAAGTCGGTATTGAAATTGTAGGGTTGTTTCTTTCACAAGTTTGGGAAGTCATGCACGATCGGGTAAGGATTCTTATAAGTCGGTACTCACCACCCACGGATGCCCTGCGTTTGCCCACGTTTTTGCACGTAGACAGCACGCAGAAGCACGTACGGCGGGTTGTGACCGTAGCTTAAGACTTATTTTGACAACGTGCAAATCTAACCCAGGTTGGACACTTTCCAAGGTTCAAGCTATAGTAGCATTGTGCCTTTAGTATTCGCCTTTGGTTACTGATACCACCAGCCCTCACATGGCCATGCAAAAGCATCTCAATGTGAAGCAAAGGTTGAAAGCAATCAACAAAGCCTTTTGACATACATCTTTCTAAACGTAAACAATGATAACAATGAGTCAGAGTTGGGCTGGGTTTTGAATTGCAAAATGTATCGTTCCTATGGCATTGCCAGCAAATACAACCCTTCCAAGTTGAGCATCGAAAGTTTCGTTCCAGGTATCAGGGTACCCTGAGTCACAATAGGCTTCGCTTAACTTGATCCGACAGTTTTGCATAAACAATCCCGCTGATTGGATGCACGTGACGTCACCCGACAAGGATAGGTAGTAACTAGGACCCAAATTTCTGTTACTACCACAAATACTCGCCCTTATAGTATAAATGCAGAAGAACCTGCGCCAGTTCTACAGTTGCCAGCATTTACTCGACAGCGTCACTTCTCCTGGGTGCCGAAAGCGTCAGTTGTTTGCTACTCCGGTTGGATCAAGGGTAAGTGAACTGCTCATTCTATTTCATATTGCTTTAGCCTGGACTGCCAGACCTTGGCGTTTAATAAGCGATGCGATAGGATAGATGTTTAAAGGAGAAAGGTCCGCTACCATAAGTTGTTGTCTAATAAGCGATAGATGTTTTAGGAGAGAAACGTCCGCCACCATAAGTTGTTGCCGCCCAAGCCCTTTATGATTTTAACTATCACACCGACGAGGAGATAATTACAGCCAGGGTGCCACCTCGGGTTAGCGAGGTGTATGGCTTCTCTATCTGGCCGAAGCCGGATTATCACTCCTTCGCGGTAGTGTCTGGCACCCAGGCTAATTTCTGCTTCCCTCATACCTAAAAAATCGCAGGCCCGGCGGTCGCACTATGTTATACTAGTACTAATCTAAGTACATTAGCTCTAAAACTACTCTAATTATGTTATGATCTACCAATATGCTTGAAACTAGTTGAGAGCTCGGATGGTGCGGCCATGCGGTAGCTGGGTTCACGGCACCGCAAGTACAAAACCTGTGCCACGAAAGCAGCTCCATGTTAGTTTGTACGTGCCGTTACCAAGTAGTTTGCCCGTAAATACAAGTCAATTTTCCTATCAACCTTGCCTCCTCCCCCGCCTACACCCCCACATCCACCCCCACATCATCCCCCGCCTCCACCCCCGCCCCCCTGCGAGTGTTTGGTAGCTTCGCACAGTAATGTTTATTATTTTGTATCTGTCGTTGCTAAGCAGCAAGCTTAAATTATAAGAGAAAGTTTGAGGCCTGAGTAAGACTCACGTGATTTTCTACATTTGCTACATATACATCCGCAGGTGTTAACATCTATAACAACAAGAAGAAGTTGTAAACATCAGCACTCCATGAAATATTGTGGTTTGGTATCTTATGGCTAATATGTGTTATGCTTGTATTATGACGATTTACCACATTTGTGGAAGGATTGACATAACAGGTGACTATCACCTCTTCAAAGATGTCAACCCCGAGACCAGACTGTAAGGTTTGAACCACTCACACCGGGAAGGTCCCCTACTCTTGTGATAAGTGCGGTGGGTTTTTAACGTGAGTGGGGTGTGTTTCTCCCAAACACGGGACCTCCATTTAACGACCTATCCGAGGGACGTCCCTAGCAGAAGCTAGGTACTCATTTACACCTGAGTGAAGTGAGGAAAGTCGTGTAAAGTGCCTTTCCCAAGGGCACAAGATCGGTGACATGGGCAGGGTTCGAACCCGCGACCTCTCAGGTGTGAGTCGAACGCGCTACTGACTGCGCCACACAACCCCACATTATTGTATTGCTTTTCATATAATCAAAATATCTCAAGGAAACAAAACAGCATAATACTTAGTTCCCATATTGCACACATTGCATTCCGTCTAACAGAACTTGAGAGATACACCAAAACATGATCCAGACTGAATACAGTACACGTGCACCCCGTTTCATGGAGTGTAACAAGTCCGAGTTTTTAAATTGCAGGTTCTATCGCTCTAGTCTGACTGCACCCCTAGCGGCCGGCCCGCACGGCAGCCAGTTGGTGTTGAGAACACAGTAAACACAGATGTAAACATAGGCTAATATCGTTCCTTTGACATTTGGCACGTTGCCAGCGAAATCTACCCTTCCAAGTTGACCTTAAAAGGTTCAGGACCAGGTATCAGGGTACCTGGCTTATAATGGCCTTTGCTGGAGTAAACAAGCTACCCGGCTGATCGACACCAAAGTATAAACGTTTAACACAATAGGCTCATCTTAGATTCGGGTCTCACATTCAACTAACACAAGGGCCACATGTTTGTGAGTATGCGTAAGGATGATGGTTGCTCAATTGCTCATAGGTTGAACTGGCTCACAGGAATATAAAGACATCACAAATAATAAAAAAATCGAAGTTATGTCCGAATTGAATATATCGCTTATCGTTATCGCTTTTCGTGGACCAGTAGATAAAATGAATCGTCCAAATTGATTGTGATTTTAGAACAACAATGTATTCTGCGGTTATTGGCTGCATGATAGATGGTGACTCTATAGCTGATGAAACCTATGACATGGTCCCTGGGTAGCTGAGATTCCATCAGCTACATATAGCATTAGAGCCAAGCAGTTGCTGTTCAATATTAGATACATAATCTAGTCACACGACTGGTTTTTAATAAAGACATCAATGAAATTTTTTTTTTTTTTTGGTAGTTGAAAAGATGGCTTCATCGTATGGAAACGAAGACTTCGCCGAGGTCCTCGACCGAACCGTCGGGAGGTATGGCAGCTTAAGCATCATCGTTGTACAGCTGCAGCAGCTTACAGGAGGCGGCAGGGGCTTTAGGGACGTCCTGTCATCCTACAAGGCAATGCCGGAGTGGTCATCAGAAGAAGCCAGTAACTTCAGGCACATGATGGGGCTTATCAAAGATGCCTGCACTAGGTACACGGACTAAATCTTTGTTATACATCTGAATGGCTTTTGTTTGTATTTTGTATTTTTTGTTTCATTTTTATATCATTCTATGGTTTTGGTCAACGGCCGTCACAGATACCTCTGACTCATCATCTAATCCATGCAGCAAAATTGGTCATTTCATCTTCTGCAAACCATCTATGGAGTCAATGGACATTTTAGACTTTTTAACTAATCTCCAAGCAGATCCTACGGTGAAAAGGCGGTATCCATTAGCTAAGGAGTAACCATTAGCCACCAGTGGCTAATGGTTACAGGGTGCCTATTGGTCACTTCTTGGCTAACAGACACTGCCTTGTCACCGTAGGATCTGCTTGAAGATTCTCAACATGTGAAAGTGCTAAAGCTGCGAAATGATACGCTGTGAAAAAATACAAGTGTCATTTTGTGCATTGAAAAATATTTTCTTCCTCAGCTTCGGCAAGGTCGAGGAAGCGGCACGTGCATATGTCCTTCGTACAAAAGAATTTGCGAAAGAAAACCTTGAGTTCGCTGAAGATGTCCAAGAGGGCCTAGGGCCGGAGGACTTGGAGGATCTGCTTGCTGATTGGGTGGCGAGCATCGATGAGATGAAAGAATCCAATGGCAAGGTTTGGTTCAGTTCAGATTACGTTTTTTCACGACAAAGCTACATATATATAGCTATTGCCATTCCCGTTGAAACGTGCATGCTGAAATGTATGTGTATGTATGTCGTGATCGAGGGTTTGAAACAATGTAAAATTAATCCACCAGCCCGAACCAGATGTATATACAAATTTCATTTAAGAGTGTCCCAAAACTAATAGATATGGCCAGTAGTTGTGATTATCAAATCGCACAGAAAAACCAGCAAAGAAAACATCATCCTACGTAAAAATAGTTGTGACCATGGAAAAGGAAAGGGAGGATACATTGTGATATTAATGAACATCCGTAGCATTGGTGGGGACGGGTATGCTACATTATATTTATTAATCTTAGCCTTTCAAGCCTTGCAAGGATGGACTGCCTCTCTGACGTTACAAATACCAGATAATGGGTGAAAATAGAGACAAAACTTTTACAAATAAGTACTTTGGCCTTAAAAACTGATTATTTCTACAACTCTCTCTCACCAGTCACCAGCGATGATGAAAAGTAAAATATTCCCCACAACCCCCGTTGCAAAAGAAAATCTTATATTTAATACAATGTATTTGATACTCAATGCGCTGTTTTGTATGATTTTGGACAGATAGAGATCGTGAAAGACGAATTCGAGAATGTTCTGGGTAAGCTGGAAACAGCCCAGGGACACGCCGCGAGTGGCAAGAGCAGCGGAAAGAGGGATGCCGAAGAGGCGAGCAGAAACTCGCTCCTATATTCCGTCGGTGGTGCTGTAGGGACAGCCGTAGGCGGAGTTGCTACCATTGCAACTGGTGGCCTTGCTGCTATCCCAATTGGCGCGGCCACAGCGGCATTTGGGGGCTGGTCTTTTGGTTCAGCAATCAAGTCCGCTGCTGATTCAGTAAGTATAATTTTTTCTTGTCACGCATCTACCCGTCATTAGAATAACTTGTTATGCCATCTTTTGGATAACGTCATTTGAATTTTTCAGGTTATGAAAAGAAATAAAGTCTACAGATGTGATATCATGATAGATTTACATTTAACACGTTAAGTTGTTAAAAGTGTTCAATCACTGATTCAGGTCAGGAATAGCGTCGGTTATTTGTCATATAAATATCATGTTTCTTGTACAGATAAAAGGATTCTTTTACTGCCCTGTGACAACTTCGGACGATTCATCCATACAGGACAAGTACAGGGACTGGGAGAAGGCGTTCGCTCTCGCCGCACGGCAACTGGACAGCGCCTACGCTTTCGTAGGCAAAATGACGGATGAAAGCAAGAAGACTCTGAATGATCTGTCCGAGTACAGCAGACAGCTTCTGAGCAGGTCGAAGAAAATGGCAAAAGCAGAAAAGATCTCACGGTAAGAATTGAACCACATATATCATATATCAGGAAAAAAAAAGAGAAATCAAACCCCTTAGACATAGTTTTAGACATAGTTATAGCTCTAGACAACTACCTTTTATCATGTAGATTTTAGTTATTTTATACTACGTTTCATTGTTCTTTTATGTTTGTAATCTGCAATTAGCCCCCCGGGCATGAATTTGCAATAAACTTCACATATATCGTTAAGTTAACATCATTAATTTGTAGATGCGATTGTTTGCCGGATAAAAGCACAAGCAGTATGGTAAATTGGTGCAATAATATTATATGAATGTCTTAGAGTTATCAAAACGTTATGTCAGACATTTCAAAATTCAAGTTTTGATAACTCTGTACATTCTATTTTATTCATGTATTTTAGAATCCAGGAGAGTAAGCTCGTCCAGAAGCAATTCAAGCGACTGGAAGATGAATCAAAGACAGTGAAGAAAGCCTGCATTGCCTACATTGAGAAGGACAACGAGGCTCGCGGAATAACCGGAACCATGGCCCAGCTGAGTCTTGAGTAGAACACCAATTACTCGTACTTATCACCCTCAATACTATTTCATTAAATGTGTTAAATCCTAATTGTGTTTTCCCAAATTTCCCATTTTGTTTATACAGTATGAAAAGATATTTTCCGTTAGTTTTAATGAAGTGTGTATGCATCATTCAAATTTATGTTATTTCATTTTTAATTATGAAAGCAAGGACGTCAGTGAGCAGCACTGAAGAAACAAAAAATTGACTAGGATTTATGAAGGGATTAAATTTCGGACACGATCGACTCATGAAAAGGAACATTCTAATCAATTCATTTCGATTGCAAGATAGAGCAAAACCTCTCGTAAGTTAAAAGGCATTAGGTGGTAATTGTATGGTGTACATAACATATATCAATTTGCAAATGTGGCATCAAATTACATTAATTTAAATGGCACATTTTAAGTAGTATCTTTTTACGTAATGAAATAAACGTTGTGTTATAATACGAATAACTGCGTTCTATTTGAAATAGCACAACTGTACAAATATGCTCCAGTCGTATGAATTGTGGTGGCTTTCTGTTAGTGTGCACCACATCTACATAACCAAGCTGTATACACATACCAATACCCTTTATTTTATCAGATGGACGGAATTGTCGTGAAACGTTTGCATGTTTTCGTTTGAAATACCTCCACAATAACCAAGATTGCTTGCTATATTTTGAGTACTTATTCAAAAGTATGTAACGTTATACACTTTTATTTTCATTTGACTTCAAATTACTGTACCTGCCTTTGTGTACTAATGACTTTCAACGACTCAATGACTTACAATATTCATAGTGATGTTTAGCTCACTAGCTCTTTGTGTAGCTCCTTTATTTGTTTGTGATATTGAGAAACTTTGGTCTCGCTTTCGATACCTTGATCATGCCTTTTTGCAGGCATTTTGACAGCTAGGTGCAGTGACAGTTGTTAGGTGATAACATGAGTGAACAATTTTCCAGAGAATTTTGTGGCTTTGACGTTTTATGATGATGTCATTTTGATTAGCCTATTAAGCGGTGAATAAAAAATGCATAACGGCATGGCACTGTCCTGGATGTCTTGTCTCTATATGTTGATTTCTGAAGGCTGAATAGAAGCGTATCATCGACATACAATTATATCAATGTATGAAAATCTTCTTATTGTTGAATATACGGCATACATATGCAATGACAAACAACTTTTTACCTGTAAATGACATTGGTAACATTTATCCGATGACATATATACAAGGTATGAGTCAGCTTCAAAAAACACAAAAGGTAACCTAAGGTCACGAAACACGTGTATAACACACTACCTAGTAACTTAATCACAACCGACTGTGCTGTTTTCAAAACAAGAATAAGAGATTGGGCTATGACTCAAAGCAAATCCTCACCATTGAGCCTATGGTGGTAACAAGCATAAGCTAAGCCTGATCTCTTATTGTATAGAATGTTTTATTTGATTTTGTATAAGTTATTTTGTCTCTGCTGCTACCTTTCAGTTATTTAAATGGCTGATCAATTTGTTATATTTATCTTTTCTTTGGAATTATGATCAGTTAGACATTATGTTCTATTCAGTTATTTAAGTTATTTATACCTTTGTTAATTTTGTTGGCACCTTTGTTGATTACATAAAACTCTGGTTTATGTTCAGATTATTCTGTGTTTTTTTAGGTCGACCTCTGACCTCTCCTATTGATTTGAATTTACTCTATAGATTTGAAGTTACTTTCTTATTTTGTAATCATCATTATGTACAAAGTTTTGTTATCTATGTTTTATTTTATTGACCCCAGGAAGAATAGTGCTTTTAAGCACTAATGGGATCGAAATAAACAAACAAACAAACAAACGTGTGTCGTCATCGGTCAAAGGTCACGCTACCTATGAAGGTGTTAGCGGTGTGAAATTGTTGGGTTTGGTGGGAAAAAAATTCAGTGCAAAAGAGAAACCCCGATAAAAAAGCCTTAAAACAAGCTAAAAATACCCCCAAAACCCAAACCTCTGCTTGGAGAGTAATGATTCACCACAAAACAGGGCTCAAATGGAAGCCACTCAAATGTTTTGGGATACTGTACAGCCAGTGAGGGCAGATGTTTGTTGACACTAGTAGACTTGAAAAGTTTAAGGCCCATGGGAAACAATCACGTAGTGGCACTAGCGAGTGAAGTTCCGTGGAGCATTATTAAACCATTTAGGGAACCTGCGGGTCAGCAGCCCTACACAGGGAGCGCTAGGATTGACAAAGGGAATTTTAAGTTTGGGCGTGCTAAGTTTGCCCTTGTAAGGACTGCTCTCAGATTTGGCGTGCCGCCAGAAACGGTAACACTTATAAAGCATACATTTTGGGCGGAGCTGTCCAATCAATTAGGTTATAGTGGTTCAATATAACCATGGTAACCCGGAAGTAAGAGCCCCAAGCCTGTGCAGAGAAGTCCGCGTCCAAACCACCGGACGAACAGAGAAGACTGAGAATGGCGCTGGAGTTCCTCCCCATCCCGCTGTCGTGGGTGGTGCTGCCTCCTCGTAGCGGCCCGCTCCAGTGAAACTAGGGATGACACCATCGTCTCACCCATACAGGTGTCTTGTAGGATCATTTCTACGTCTTGCGGCGAGAACTGGTACAAGGAGAAGGAGATCTTAACCTGTAGCGCCAGGAATAAGAAGAGTGTCTTAAGAACCCGGAAGAGACACGACTCTGGGCGCCATGTTGGATAGGTCAGAGGTCACCGGAATGCAACAGGTGTGCGCAGACACGAGGAGGTCGGTGATTGGTTGAAAAGTGATAACGTCATATCATCATAGGCATTTTAGAATCGGTTGGAAATACTGTATTTAACGCGGGGGCAATTTTCTAAAAAAATTACAGTATTATAGTCTATTTATACAATACAATCAGCACTAGAACAGTAGGGTTGTTTCTTTCATGACAACTTTTGAGAAGTCCTGCATTGATAGTGTTAGGATACGTATAATTTTGCCGAAGGTTAGTTGCCCTAAAAGGACACATATTTCGAATTTTAGTAAAAAAAAAAAAAGATAATATGGAGTTAAAGAATTAAATTGGGCAAGGGTGTGGCTTGTCAGTGCGTGATTTTTTTTCAGAACTTTTCACGCACGTCCTCTTTGTTGTTGTTGTTGTGCAACTTGAAACAGCATCCGTTGATGCATCACAATATAATTTTATAACAACCCTTGTGTGGAGGTCAAAGAAAGCCGTCGGCATGAATATTACTTATTTTCTTAACTATTTGATTACTTCGGTCTTAGTCGGGACGTTTTACTACTACCACGGTGCCGCCAAGTTGAAAACTGTACCATGCACATACACAGGCTTTTCATGTGACGTCACTCGCGCCATTTTGGATTACAGTGATTACGGTGAATGTCAACACGGCCGTGGCTGCGCCGGTATTCTATAATAAATATAAGGCAATGAAAGTCCGGGAAGGCTGCCATAAGCAGTTACATGTAATATAACGACACAACTCAATAGACGTTAGCGAGGGCCATACGTACGTCAATACTAGTTTCTTCTTTTTTTATACAACCAAGTCTTTATTCAGCCGACGTTTCGGCGACCGTCTGTCACCTTCCTCGGGGTGATTCTGACGGGTTCATAATGTACTTGCCCTGGGCAAGGACATTGTAGCCCATTGTATGTTTATATAGCTGAGCACGTCGGCAGAATGTACTGCACCTGCGCGAAATCCGTAATATATTGTGCATAGCACTTCGGCAGAACCTCCCATATAAGGTTGTATTCGCACATATAAGGTTAACATCCCGTCTGTAGTTTCCAGATGTTATGTCGGAAAAAATAACGTCTGCAACGGGCAAAATTCTGATGCAACGTTGACCAAAAGTCAACGAAAACCGTGAAAAATCGGGGTTCAATTCTGCGCAGGCGCAGTACGTTCTACCGACGTGCTACTAGTAGATAGCTGTAGTTTGTAGGAGCAAAGTGGGCTTTCCAAGATGAGACGTCAGCAACGGTTTCGTTCCCAGAAATGTACTTGATTTGAGTACTTTGTGTCAACAAATTCGCTGATTGGTTGCTCGTAATGGCGCGAAAACGCCACCAATCATCACTCGGCACCGGAGGGATCCTATTGGCTAAAGGCAAGAGAACCTGCGCAAGCCAGTTCCACAGTCAGCAGATCACTCGACGCCCTCAAGTTTTGCAGAGCGAACGTCCTCTGGAGAAGAGGCGGCACAAAGCGTCAGTTATTCGCCACTCCGGTCGGATCAAGCTAGGGTAAGCCAAACAGTACCATTCATTCCACGACTTGTTTTTTTTTTTTATCATGGCCCAAGATACTAGTAGTTGGCGGCAAAGTGGCCGCGCTATGAATGGCCAAGGGGAAAACGCGAATCTAAAAATACCGCGGATTGTCCATTTTCCCGAAGCAGCGAACTTTAGGCCCCGCGAATCTAAAGGAACTTACAGATAATGTTCTTGGTTTTATGCATACATTTTGTAGGTTACGTTATGATATACCAATACGCTTGCATTACTAGTTGTTAGCTCTGAGGGAGCTGTAGTTGGGTAACGTTACAGCACAAGTACACTTGAACTTTTGCTACGCAAACAATTCCGTGTTAGTTCGTACGTGCCGTTACCAAATAGTTTGCCCGAAAATGAAAGTTAATTTTCCTATCTGTACCGTACCCCGGCCTAGCCTCCTGCGCAGGCCTACGAGCGGGTGGGAGTTTTGATATTTTGCCGGCCATCCTACACCCAGCCGCCCATAGAAGGTTTTTACTGGTTCACACGGTCAATGGCGGCGCAAGATCCGACCGAGTATGCTAAACCAGCGGCGTGCACGCGTCCTGTGAGCTGTATAGTGGCGGGTACAATCCTTCTCTGGGCGGCTGGTTGTAGGATGCAGAAATGAACATTTTCACAACTACGGCATGGGCCTTTGACAACCGATTTTATTGCGGGACAGCTGTGGTTTGAATGATATGTACACACACTCGGGAACTTCTCAGAGCTAGTGCTGTTATAACTACCTGTGTGGAAATTGAAAATCTCTACATATCATTTAGTTTGTAGTTGAAATTTATTTACTTACTATTAAATGTGGTTTTCAGGAAGAAATGGATGTCGAGGAAGAGTTCATTGCAATCTTCGACCTAACGGTCGTGAGGTTTGGTGGCCTCAGCGGAAACATAGGTCAGCTGCAGCGGGTGATAGGAGGCAACAAGAACTTTAAAGATGTCCTGGCATCCTACAGGCACGTGCCGGACATGTCGTCAGAAGAGGGCCGAAAGTACAGGAACATGATGGAGCTAATCGAAGATGCTTGCAACAGGTATTCCAAGGAGGGTGAAGCTTCAGCCTCCTTGATCATTCTCGTGCCCGCACTGTTTTGCGTACTCGTAAGTGTTCACTTTCAGAGCCGCCTAGGAAGTGCTCATGATGCCTTCTAACTTTGAATGTTTCTTTCACAGCTTAGACAAGATCGCGGAAGCACAGCGCCAATATGTCCTTCGTACGAAGGAATTCGCCAAGGACAACATCGACTTCATAAGCGATGCCCAGGGGAACCTAGAGGCGGAGGACATAAGGGAGCTTGTCAGCGACTGGAAAGACAGCATCGACAAAATGACAGAATACAACGACAAGGTGAGCTTTAGTAAAGCAGCTGTTTGTTTGCTTGTTTGTACAAACCTGTATATATTCAGCGAAAATTTCAACCTTGATCAGATGTCTTCAATTTTTTTGTTTCCATCATCAATGATGTGGCGAATTACTACACATCCTAGCAGGACCCCGGTATGCCCGACATATGAATACAAATAAGCAACAAATACAAGAACACAAGAGTTAATTATGCTTAGTAACGGGTTATGCTGTTGTTTGCAGATTGAAACTGTGAGCGACCGCTTCAACAGGGTTTTGAGAGATCTGAGGACGGCCCAGGGAGAAGCAGCAAGTGGCAAAGAGCGAGGAAGGAAGGGTGAACGAGATGCAGACAGAGGCACAGCAGCATGCGCCACGGGAGCAGTTGGGTCTGCAGGTGTAGCAGCCGCCGCAACTGTTGCAACCGGCGGCCTTGCTGCTCCAATCATCGGGATCGGGGCGGTTGTGTCATTTGGTCTGGGAGCACTGAAGTTTGCTTCTGATTCGGTAAGAACAGCCATAATTTTGTGTAGGTTCCAAATTTGCCAATCTACGTATACGTACATCTTATATTTCTGTCGAAATTTAGTTTAAAATTCTTGAAGACTACCCTGTGATAAATTGCCTGGAATTGCCAGGAGGGTTCATATTGAAATGAAAGAAAATTATTGTAAACTGCATTCGCCGGTTCTTATGCTACCGTGGTCGTGTTTCTTGTGCAGATATGCCGATTATTTAAAGGCCCTGAAACGGACGATTCATCCATACAGGAAACCCACAAGAAGTGGAAGGAGGCATTTGCTCTCGTCTCCAAACAACTGGACGACGCCTATGGGTACATAAAGTCTCTGACGGAAGAGAGTAAGAAGATATTGACTGATCTGTCTACGAACAGCCAGCTACTCGCAGAAAAATCCAAGAAGATGGCCAAACAACAAAAGATTATGAGGTATGGACATTCATTTGTGGCAATCCTCACACACATAGACACACACACACACACACACACACACACACACACACACACACACACACACACACACACACACACACACACACACACACACACACACACACACA